TAATAATAATAATAATAATAATAATAATAATAATAATAATAATAATAATAATAATAATTAACCATAAACAAAATAATTAGACTCATAAACAAAAATAAACTTAAATAAATAGATTTCCGTGGCTTGGGCAGTCGACGCGGTCGCGGTAGCGGTAACTCGCTCGGTCCGTCGATGAGTCCCGTCTCTCGTCGCTAGCGATACCTCTCCACCTCCCCGCTTATAATACCTTCTTCACACCCCTCTTTCTTTACAAAGTGATGAACTTTGTTTGCCACTTTTCGTCTTGCCTTTATCTTTCTGTTTCTTTAATTCTGGCTCGAGCTGCCCTGTAGCTTGGCCAACATGTCGTGAGCGGTAGTTCCAGTCGAAACTATAGTCGGTGATGACTGATTACGTGTCTGGACCGCCTTATATGAACGTAACTCTGGATCATACGCCGTGAATCGGCGTCTCTTTTGATGCGGAAGGAACGGTTGACTTCTAACTTGGTCTAGCGGCGTCAGAGTGGCTAACATCTGCTCCAACGTCTGCTGCGGTCGTTTCCGTGGTCGTTCGAAAAGATCTCCTGGTTTGTCTTCGAATTCTTCCGGGTAATCCATCAATAACGGTGAGTCGTCGTATCAAGCCCAACTGGGTAAACTGGCCACCGTCGAGGTGACCGCTGTCGTAATTGTCAAGGGCTTGCCTTGGCATGGACTTTGTTTGTCTCGGAGGTCCGAGTGGACGGCGCTGTGAATGGTCTCCGGTTTCGTGGTGATCTGGATCTCTTCTAACAGGCGTGCTTCTTCTTCCACCGTTTCCGTCGGTGGCTGTTGCTTTCTCGGCCGAGTCCATACGAAGCCAGGATTAGTTGGATCGTACGGCTTGGGGGCTGGTACTATCTGGATCATTCCGGGCAGTATTCGGTTCTCCACGATCGAGATCTTCGGTCGTTGAAGTCTCTTCGTCTTGGGTTCTCGAGTGGACTTTTCACTTGGTTTGTCGAGGCCCTTCCACTGGCGTGGATCTGGACTAGCTGAGCCGGATAGCTCTAACATTTTCTCACAGCGTTGTCGAGCGAGGCGAACTCGTCGAACGTCGTGACTTGCGATTATGGTAGCGGTAGGGACGTGGGGGTCGTTCTTCAGAACTTCCTCGAGACGTCGAACTTCTTCTTGAAATTCGCTGATCTTCAACGGCTCCATCGTCTACGTAATCGTCGAAAAATGTCTTATAGCTATAGGCATTCAACATACTTTATCATACCCGCGTTATTAAAACAAAGAGGTTCATTGAATTTACGAACTATCTATTTTAATTTACCTTTTTACTCTTTTCGTCGCGTTCGGCTAATTTCAAATCGGAGCCCACGACTCTACAACTAATTTTGCTAATCCGCGATCACCAACTAATTTTGGTGATCGGTGATTACCGTAAACTCGTAACCCGCGGGATACGGCCTCATTTTCTGAATCTCCCATATGACGGCTAGACACTCTTTCTCAGTCACGGAGTAATTTCGCTCTGCTTAGTTCATCCCTCGACTCGCGTACGCGAAAACTTGTTCTTTACCGTCGTCTTCCTGCGTCAACACCGCGCCGAGTCCTTCGTTACTTGCGTCGGTTTGCAGCGTAAATTTCTTATTAAAATCCGGGGGAATTAGCACCGGCGCGGATTTTAAATGATTTTTAAAATTTTTGAAAGCCATTTGCTCTACTTCTGTCCATCTCCAACGTTTCTTTTTCTGGAGTAAAGAAGTGAGTGGCTTAGTTCGGTCTGCACAGTTCGGGATGAATCGTCGGTACCATGAGACCATTCCCAAAAACTGGCGTAATTCTTTCGTCGTTCATGGTGGAGCAATCTCGCTTATTGCTTTCACCTTTTCCGGATCTGTGTGAATCCCGTGCTCGTCGATAACATGTCCGAGATAGATAACCGACGTTTCTAGGAAGCGACTTTTCTCGTGATTAATCTTAAAATTCGCGGCTCTGAGGCGTTCTAGCACCTTTCGCAATATCTCCATGTGGTGCACGAGAGTTTCGCCGAGTACAATAATGTCATCTATATATACTACGACGTACGGTTCTTGATCGATTCCTAAGACTTCATGCATGGCTCGTTGAAATGTCGCGGGTGCCAAATGTAACCCGAAAGGCATCACGCGAAATTAGAATAAACCACGTCCGGGGATTGTGAAGGCAGTAATTGGTTTACTCTCTTCGTCCAGTGGTATTTGCCAATACCCGCTCTTTAAGTCGATCACGCTCTTATACTTAGATCCTCGCAATTTCTCTAGTGAAGCATTAACCTGAGGAATCGGAAATGCATCCTTTTCTGAGATATCATTTACCTGTCGTAAGTCGACGCAAAAACGATATTTTTGGTCCTTTTTCCGTACCATCATAATCGGCGAGCTCCAAGGACTGCTAGACGGTTCTATTATGCCGTCCTGGAGCATTTTGTCTACTTTGTCGTTCATAATCTATTGCATTTTCGGATTTTTTGGATAATATCGTGATTTGATCGGTTCTGTGCCGGGTTTCAACTTAATTCTATGAGTCGCGCAACGAGTTGGACCTTTTACTCCTTCATCGAGCTTGAGTAAGGCTTTAATTTCTCGGCGGGCAGTCTCAAGATCGCATTTTACGTCGAGAGTATGACACTCGAACGTATCCTGCTTACGTAGTAAGTGATAACCCATTTCGCTCAGGTTATCGACCCCTAAGAGCATATCATTTCTATATGACGGAATAATATGAAACGGTAACGTGTAAATTCGACCTGACTCTGATATCACGATCCACGCGGTACCGGTAGTTTGCACCACGTGGCTTCCTAAGGTTAATCCTTGTTTCGGCGTTGGATCATACTTTGTCAATAGCCCGTTATTCTGTACGAAAGTCCATGTAGCTGGAGAAATTATGGACGCTGTCGCGCCAGTATCCATTAACGCGTGGATGTCTCTCCCGCCAAGCTCGATTTTGGCGAAAGGACGTTTATCTCCTACTCTTACTGCTGAGGGGTTGTACTGCTGTTGGGTTCCGACGCGATCGTTGTCGCGGCGTTGTCCCTTTGATTCGTCTGGGGTCTGGCTCCCGATATTCGTGAGTCTTGACGGTCTCCGGGTCGACTCTGGGAGCTGGTGTCAACCCTCGCGGCGTTTCCCGGCCACAGGCAGCAATCACGGGTCCTCGTGCCCATTTTACCGCACCGTGAGCAGAATTTAACTCGTTGGTTCGTGCATTGGGGTTGTCGGTGGCCTTTCTACTGACAGCGCCAATAATGTTCTCGCCAATCGTACTCTAAAATTACTAACGACGCCGCTGGTTTCGTCGTTTTACCTGTAGCTGGCTTTCCGGTGTTAGTTTTTCCGGCTGCTGGCTTATTACTAGTCTGCGGTTGCCCGTTTTCCTGAGCCACGAGTTGCTCAAACTTGCCTGCCAGTCGCAATAGCTCTGGAACGTTCGTAAACTCGGTTCGCTTAATATATCGACGGTATTCGGGTCTCAAATTTTGATACAATCGCGCTAACTTGGCCTGAGGAGTCATTTGACCGTGTCAACGCATCAGGGTCTGTAAACTTGTCGCATACTCTTTTGCTATCTCAGTCTCTTTCTGCACCCGGTTCCTAATTTGTTCTTCAAGTTCGATCTCCCGGCTCGGTGGTAAGAAGAAAGATTTTAATCTGACGTGAAGTCTTCCCACGACACCCAGTCTCTCTTGTTGTTTCGGTACCAGTGTATTTATATTTGTTAAAAATGCTAGCCGTAAGATGGACGGTGTGGCTTAATGTATATAGAATAAGTGAAAGGAAATTTAGTATAGACCGGATAGCTCAAATAGTAGAGTAGCCGACATGTCTTCGGAAGGTTCTGGGTTCGAATCCCAGTCCGAGCTATCTAATAATTTTTTCTCACATATTCTATACACTCACATTAAGAAGTTCCTCTCCATAATCCTTTCTCAATCCTTTCCTACCAATTATCCTGTTACGTGAATGTTGGAACGCTTCACGTAATAATTATCCGTAACTCCTATTCTTTCCCGCTTCACAGCATTATTTATATTTGTTAAAAATGTGGTATGGCTTTCTCGCGAAGAAGCATGGGAATGCAGTGGACTAGCTTGTCCTTCTGGAACCCATAACTCTCAGTTAACTCATCGATACGCTCGAGGAAATCTAAAACATCGCGTTCACCGTTGAAAGTAACGCCCCATTTGCGCACCAAGTCTCTCGTTCGGAACTCGTCGTTTTCTCTCGGCAATGCCGCCGGTACAATCATGCCCGGGTTTTGTGCTGCCAGATTGGATTGCCTATTTAATTCTATTCCCCGAAGTACTTGTTCCGTGATTTCTCGTCTCAAACGTTCTCGAGTTTCACGCTCCTCTTGTTCTCTTTGCTCACGTTCGCGTCGTTCTCGTTCTCGTCTCGTCTGTACCTCTTGATCTGTCTCCGGTCCCACGATCTCCTGGTTAGGTACCCTTCTCGCCTCTATTTCTCGTCTTACTTGTTCCGTAATCTCGTGTCTTAATCGATCTCGCAGTTCTCGCTCCTCCCTCTCGCGTGTTTCGCGTTCCACTCTTTCTCTTTCTTCGCGTTCCTCACATTCGCGTTTCTCTCGCTCTTCCCGCTCTCTTTTTTCCCGATCCTGGGCCTCAGATTTCTCTCTTTCTTTTTCTCGAGCCTCTTGTTCTCGCTTTCTCTTTTCCTCGAGTTCCCGTTGTTCGCGCTCGGCTCGGCGCTTTTCGCGGTTCTCTCGCTCTATCTTCTCCCTTTCCTTCTTTTCCAACCCTTTTCGAACAGCTTTCGGGACAGGTATTGTTTTACGATACTCCTTACTTACTACGGGATCGATTCGATTAACTAATGATTCTTAATAACCAATTATATGAGCCAGGAGACAACGCGACGTGCGGATATTAATTCAGCTCAACTTGTGAGTACTCACCAATAAAAGGGACTCGAACCAAGGCGCTAGATTCACACTCCTTACACTATGCGGGCTCCCGCGTGTCTCCCGATTTTTATTTTTACGAAAACCTATGAGGCCTCGTGTACGATCACGAGAGCCTCTCAAGACGTTTACCAAAATTACTAGTCCTTGTGCTCGCAATCAATACTTTAGAGAATCATCCGTGCGAGCAAGGGCTATGACCTATTACCAATAATCAATACTACGACGAATGCTTGGGCATTTTCTTTACCTGTTCCGATACCCATCGTTGGACCTTGGTATTAATATATGAGGAATGAAATAACAAAATTATAAATAGTCCAATACAATTTCCTGAGACAAGTGTCAAATTAATACTTAAGAACTAATAACAATAATATATAAAATATCAAATATAAATAATAATAAATGATATAAAGTAAATAAATTAATCAAATTGATACAAAATAGTCAAATTTTATAGACACACCGAGTGTGGATCTGTTGCCAACACTAGGCGCAGGGAGGGACGCACACGGAAATAAAATTCGTGTGACACCATTTAAAATGCGTTAGATACAAAAATTGCATCACCGGGTGATGTAAATTTAGAATCACCTCTGTGGACTTCACAGGTGATACAATTTTTGTATCAGCTAATGAGATTTTAAAGTCACTTTTTTTCGTGCAATTTGTCGTATTTATCGGAAGAAATAGTCTCACTAACTTTTTTTGATGATTCTGTGCCACTGGAAGTAAAATAAATAATAGTTGAAGCAATAACAACGAAGGAAAGTCAAACTGACAAAGAACTTATTGACGTTGATCTAACAATTTAGATTCATTGTTTATTAAAAATATTGGTGATTCTCTAACGAATATGTCTATGACTTTATTCGAACAGTTTGAACTTTTAAGCAATTTCCTTAATTTACCTCTTTCACAATTGCACAATTTTAAGAGTAACTCATATTGTAAATTGAATTTTCTGGTTATCGGAATATTTAACGCTAATTTTAGTTACAATACAGTTGAAATGAGGTATTTTTTTCAATAAAAATTAATTTTTATATAAATAATGACAATTTTTCGGTCAAAATAGATAAAAAACGAAGAAATTATTTTTAGTTTAACTTTGAGCTTGAATAACTTTTGAGTAAGTAAATTTATCGAAAAAAGTTAAGAGAAAGTTTTTGTAAAGCGTTCAATTTTCTACAAATTACTTGTTTGCTATATAATTGCCATATATGAACTGACATATAAAAACAAAAAAATTAATTGTATAAGGTGCCAAAACTCCATGTTATTTAAATGGGAAATGTATCGTCTTTGTGGCACAGTTTAAGATCAATATTAAGGGCTTGTACGGGTCTGATATTTTTTTTTAGGTCACAAAATAAAAATTTTAGGAGTGCTGCAAAGTCAAAAACCAAATTGATAAATAACAGACACCCTAACATATATATTAGGGTATGCCAAAATTCATTCAATTTTTAACAGGAGCTTTGTTTGGGCACTTCCGGTCGTGAGATATCTCCACAGCGGCCGGAAAAAATTATAAAAATTTTATACTATGAAAATCAAATACGAACGTCTAAACCCAAAATATTTCAGGAAATGCCTAAACATAACTCCTGTTAGAAGCGGAGCTCAAAATTCCAATTTTAAAAGGTTTATCACGGAAATTGAATTTTGGCACACCCTAATATATGGCTGATTCTCTGTAAGGATGTTTTTTACTGTCCCAGGCATTTTTTTATTAGAAAAATTGTTATTTTGTTACTAAAACAAATTTATTACGAAAATAAAAAAACATTCCTATTTGGAGCATTAAAAACAAAAATGAAATAAATTTTGGTTTTTTTTGCTATAAATTCGTAAACCACCGAAATAACAGTCCCGTGGGCTGTCCCATTCCCAAAATTAAAACTTTAAGATTAAATTTTAAGTTATTGGTCCATAATATATAATTTGGTCCATAATGTTTATAAACTTAATTAGTTAACTAACAATCTTCTTCAATAAAAAATACCGAAAATCAATTTGTTTCATTCAATTCATTAAACCAAAGTTTGTCCCACACTGTTAAAAATTTTTGTAAAATTACAATAATATTACAAAACAAATAATATGTAAAATTACAAATCAGTGTATAGCAATGCTAAATAAAATACAATTCATGTAATTTTCCAACACCTGTCAGGAAATCTACTAAGATGTATTGTAATTTTACAATCTTCTTGTATAAACCTAACACGCATTGTAATATTACAGAACTGTTCGTCAATTTTCAAGAAAAAGCTTTTTAATTTTGCAAACATTATTTGTAATTTGATTCGGCATAATTGTATGTAAAATCATAAAAAAAATATTGTAATTTATATTACAATAATCTCATAAAAAATTTAAAAAGCTTTTTTTTATTTTTACAATTTTCATTATAAAATTACACAGTGCAATGTAATGTTACCAGAAAATTTTATTTATATTACACGAATTGTAATTCTACTTCACCGTTTTCTAATTTTAAAAATAATACTTTTCAATTTTACAAAAATGAGACTGATGTACAAAAAAACAACAATGTCCTTCATATTTATTTTTACTAATTTTTAGTCTATGGTTGCGTTTATTTGTAATAATAAATTCGAGACATAATTTATCTTTTATAAATTTTAATATTACGCTCAAACGATCATTTCCAAATCAATATATTTCAATGAGTATATGTTAGACTTTAATTTTTATAATATTCAATGAATTATAAATAATGTAAAAGTTAGTTATTTTCCATCAATAAACAGCATCAAATAACACAAATAATGTAAATAATAAATAATAAGCCGTAATGCTCAATCACAACATAGGATTAGCTTATAAGAATAATAAGATGTTGAATCACCTATCGGTCGTACGGCGTAGGGCGTTAGGTATCGATCTGGCAAGCGCGCGACTCGGGTTCGGTTCTTAGTTAGGGTATATATTATTTTCACTTTAAATCATCTGAGTTGAACAAATTAGGTCTACGTGAGATACCAAATCTAGTCAGCGCTTCATAACAATAAAATGACAACAGATATTAAATCAAATCTTTCTTTTTTATTATTTCAATTCAAGTAAAATTCAAGGAAAGTATTGTAATTTTACAAACTTAGCTAATCTAAAAATATTTGTAAAATTATAAAACCGTTTTGTAAAATTAGTAACCTCACTGAGCTATATATGTTTTGTAATTTTACTATACCCGATTGTAATTTTAAATAAATGTTTTGCCTATTAGCTTCCAATACATTTCTTGTAAAATTACAATAGAAATTTTTAACAGTGCAGGCATTTTAAGAACCGTCCACTGCCAGAAGTTCAAAGCCAAAAAAAAATCCAGCGTGTTATTTTACCTTTTGTAAGGTTTATAAGGACCTAAGGGGCCATTCATTAATTACGTAAGGACAATTTTGGTCAGTTTTGATCCCCATGTAAGTATACGTAAGATTTCTCGAACCCCCCCCCCTTCCCCTTTCTTACGTAAGATTCTATCTTGATCTTTTCAATAATAAACTGTTATGTTAGGAAAGGATCAGTTTTACTAAAACTTACAGTCCAACGTGGATCCATAATTTTTATTTTTTAACAAGGAATAATTTAAATAATACTAGCAAACATAAATCAGTAAAACTACAAACTCATAACATTGTTCATAAAATAATATTTGACTAGTTTTAAATTAGTCTCAAAAACATAAATTATTATTAAACTATTTAATAATAGTTCAAGCTAAATCAATTAAAATTATTAATCTTCATCCGGACTAAACGGATTTTTAATCCATGTCATCCAATCAGAGACAATTGGTAGCTCATCAGATGTAACGGTAGATGGAAATGTTTTTTATTTTTTAAATAATAAAAATATGATAATAAACGGGAAAATGTAATATAATTTTTTCTATGGAACCAAACATGGATAACAATAAAAAACATATAAAATTTTAATAAGTTATTTTTTATTTTTTTCAACAAGCAACAAAAATTATGTAAACAAAATAAAAATTCGACTGTACACTTTAAAATTGAGAAAACAATTTGGAATTCGAAATGGAATTAGATTTTCAATCTTGAATTTTGATTCACGAAATATTACGTAAGAATGGATTTTACCCCCCTTCTCCCCCTAACATAAGAACTAATAGAGATTTTCCTAACCCCCCCCCTCCCCCTGAATAGCCTTATGTAATTAATGAATGGCCCCTAACTAGCCTTGAGTTGATAACCATAGAGCTGTTAGCGCTTTATCGCTATTTTATTTAGTGTCAAAGCACAGTTTGTGCTGGAAATATGTGTCTGGGCCATTTCACAACTCAGTCCCCTGGCAACTATTTTTATTTATAATTCATTTATAAAATTGGATCCATAAGTCTTAATATCATTCTAATTAATGCAACCATTCATTGAGAACTTGAAAAGTTGAACGCGTTGAAATAGTTTGCTTGATTTTTCTCAATTTGATAAAAAAAACAGTCCCCTGGCAAACAGTCCCCTGTCATGTTATATGGCAAGAGATACACAAATATCGAAAAAGCAAAAATTAAATCGGCTGTTTATTTATTATCATTAAGTTGATAGTTTTGTAGCCCTTGTTAATGTTTTTTTCTGATAAAATCAATAATAATTTGGTCGGACAATTTTGTAAAGATTTAAGACGTCCTTACAGAGAATCACCCATATATAATTATTAAGTACCTGTATTACTCTTTTTAATTTATCTAAGATCAACCATAATTTGTTTTTACTTATTTGTTTTAGATGGAAAATACACTGCGTATACTTATCATGCAAAATTCATAGAAATATCAGTCGGCATAAATCATAATGTTGATGAACTACTCGTTGGTGTACTTCATCAAATCAGACTAAAGCGAAAAAGTTTCAATCATGCCTCTGCAGGTGATACTGAAAAAATACTAAGAAGTAACCATTGGTATAAATCAAAAAGTATGATGCGAGCGAGTATAAAAGCTCATAGAGTGTTAACATGGTTATTTAAGAAAGAGGATAATAAATTCAAAAATTGTGAAAACTTGCATGTCTTATGAAAGTGTTAAAGATAACTGAGTGTAACTAATGATAAATATATTAAAAATACAACGATGTCTTGACATGTATTTTTGGCAAAAATATTATTTATCATTGACTCATTTTGTGCGAAATTTTTATTCTAGCACGATACAACCAATATTAGTGAATAACTGCAGTTTCTAATAATATATAACCAATTTATCAATAAATTTATTTAAATCAATTATTAAAATGATATTCATCGGCATATTTTAGTTTTTAATTAAATTTTTTCCTGTTAATTTTTAATTTTTTCAACTTCCCACTATAAAAATTGGATATTTTCAAAAGTTCGGAAGTTATTAGTTTTACCCCGTTTTTCGAAAATTGAGTTTTCAACGGATGTTGACGTCTTGAGGTCCTAGGAAGCTTCCCCGAATGTTTCCACGATGATGTCCGTATGTGTGAAAATTAGATATTTTCAAAAGTTGGGAAATTATTAGTTTTACTCCGTTTTTCGAAAATCGAATTTTCAACGGATGTTGACGTTTTGAGGTCCTAGAAAGCTTTCCCGAATGTTTCCGCGATGATATCCGTATGTGTGTGTGCGTGTGTGTGTGTGTTTTTTTTTATAGAGGAGGTAAAATACATTTACGTATGCCAGGACTTGGTGTTGGTGCCAGGGCTAGGTGTTTCAGGCCTGGTGATGTCAAACTCAAAAGTCAATATTATTTCGCAACAATACCGACTAAACATCTTCCTCTCTCCTTTCCCCATGGATGATACAGGGAAGACTGGATCGGGACCGCGTTAGCATTACTTCAATCCAGTCCATGTTGTGTCTCACGACACCTACTTCTTGTTACTACTGGTTTCTAATCCCTTTCTGCGATTTTTTCTTTTAAAGGCGCTGCGGGTAGGCTGCGACAGCTGACCAGTTTTCTTCCTTTTTGATCATGCAGGTTACCAAGCTCTCAGGGAAGAGAGTTGTGCCTATTGTTTCTTCGGTGCTGCTTCTGTCGTCCTTCCACCGATCACACTCGAAAAACGTGTGCTCGGCGTTGTCAATTTTGTCTGGGCAGTATTTGCACGTCGGTGTGCTGTGCAAACCCATCTTGAAAAGATAGGCATTGAACTGCCCATGTCCCGTCAATAGCTTCATAGAGTTTTGCTCTCTCAATCACGAGTAGGTCGATGGGCGTGGCTCCCGCTATGACCAATACAGCCGCTTCGGAAACTGTGCGGTAGGTGCAGGCAACCCTGAGAGCGCCTCGCCGCTGTACTGCTGCTATCTTTCACCGGTAGGTCTTCTGCTTTAATATGTCTGCCCATATCTCCGCTCCATAAGGCAGTACCGAGTGGACTGCTTCTAGAAAAACTCTTCTCTTTTTGGTTTTTGGTCCCATAGTATTCGTCATGATTCTTGCTAGGCTAGAAACCATCTTGCTGGCTTTCCTGCATGCACTGTCAAGGTGTTCGCGTAAAGAAAGTTTCTCGTCTATCATTACCCCTAGATAACGCAGGGCCCTTGTTGACGTCAGTGTTGTTCCTCGCATGTCCACAGCGAATGGTTTTGGGAACCATTTTTGACGTGTCAAAACGACCATCTCGGTTTTCTGTTTGGTGAGTTTCAGGTGATGCTTATCAAGCCAAGTCTCGACAGCGTCAATGGTTTCCCGAACTAGCAGTTCGGCCTCTTCT